AAATTGAGTATGTATTTAATTTTAATCTTAAGTTCAATCAAGTTTTCGCATGAAATATATAATTATTCAAGAATTTCTTTAAAAGAAATATAGGCATTATAGATTCTGGACCCTGCACCTTGTGGTATTAGCAAATCAAAACTTCTTAACTTATTATGAATTGGTTGACTAGTTGAGTTGTGCTTTAGAGTAAAAGTATAAAACATCGTCATCATGTCATCGTCAAGAAAATAGAACATGAGAGATTAGAAAAACTTGTATATTTGTTTTGCTCTCTTAATCTTATCTAATATTTTAAAATACTCATGATTCTTTACATAATAATAGAGAGCAAATGTAACATCCGTGAGCGGCAAGATTCTTCTAGTCATGTCTGATAACCACTCAGGCACGCCCACCTCCAAGAAATAATAATCCGTAGCTATATAGGGACGGATTCAAAAATCCGTTGCTATTCGTATTTCCGTCGCTATTGTATACTAGGCCAGTTTTTTTTTTTTTTTTTTTTTTTTTTGTTATTTTAGCTATGGATATATTGATCGGTCGCTATATGCCTAGGGTTTTTGAAATCTTATTAACCCTTAACATTGCAGTACTCCACGCTCTCATATCCTTAGCTTCCATCGTCCCCATGCTTCATTGTGTCCATCGTCAGCCTAGACTGCCTCCATCATCGCCGGTCGGCGTTCTTCGTACAACATAAGTCGTCGTCGGGTCATCTCTATCGCAGCGGCGTTCTTCGTGTGTGTATATATATATATATATATATATATATATATATATATATATATATATATATATATATATATTGTCATGAATGACTACTGTACCAATTTTAATTATTCATGCAGTATGGCTTTCTTGATGAGTTGGAGAGGACAATGCCATTGCTGGCGTTTGAAGGTGTTGAGAATTGCCCACTTGGAGAGCTTGTAGATATGTCACAGCGTCTCAAGACAACAAGTGAGGTCAATGCTTCAAAATTCTCACTAGTCAAAGCCATGAGAAAGGTCCATCTTTCATCCATCAAAAAGCATCACAAAAAGGACTATGCTATAGATTGTGTATTAGTATATTTGGTACCATTTTTAATGATGTAAACCTTTACAATTTTTTACTTTTATTTTTGTTATTGACATTAAATTTTTAATATAATATATTTTATGATTATATTATTGAAGTATTATGTTATAGGGTTAATACAAGTATATGATATTAATTAATGGGTACTTTCAAAAAAAAAAAAAAAATTAATGGGTAGAAATTGTTTTCTAAATTTAATACATTTGACGATTGACAAAAATCGTAGTAAATTCATAGTTAAATACCTTCTAACAACAAAGGATGAAAACGAAATAGCAACGGAAACTTTCATTGCTAAATTTAGTGACGGATATTTTTGTTTTTAAACCGTAGCTAAATTGCACCTACAAAAATAAATTAGCGACGGAATTTCCGTTGCTAAATACAGCGATGGAATATCCGTCGCTATTTTCCTTACAAATTTTGTCATTCAAATTGTCGCGGAGAGGAAATTAGCGACTGATATTTTTAAGCTTAGCGACGGAAAATCGGATAAAAATTGCATTGCAAAATTTTAGCGACGCCACTTTTAGCTACGGACCAATTCCGTCGCTAATTGCTTTAGCGACGGATTTTTTCATTTTTAGCGACGGAATTTTCCATCGCTATTTTTGCATTTTTTTGTAGTGCAATACATTTGGATAACTTGAAAGAAACAGGCTCATACACGAGTATTTTAATTGGGTTATTAGGACTCTATGTATTTGTGTCTTATTATGACTCCTTATGATTCCTCTTGTATATATTCCCCTAATTTATACAGTTGTCATATACATCTTATTCAATACAATTATTACAGTTCTCATCTGGTTGTTTTTTTCTCCTTTGATGTTGTCCATGTAGTTCGTCGGAAAGTTTAGTGCAGCACCGCCAGGAAATTCGAAGTCGGTGTCCTAATCATCCATCTATTTCTCTCAAGATTCTGCACCGATTTATTTGTTAGTCTATGTGGATGATATTCTTGTAATGGGAAGTTATTAGGCCCCAGTTACTCACTTACTCTCAAAATTGTCTGCCACTTTCAAGATTTGAGATCTTAGTGAACCAAATTTTTTTCTTGGCATTGAAACTGTTAAACCTGCTGATGGAATCCTATTATCTCAACATCGATATATGAATGATATTTTGAAACGTACTGGAATGGCGGAATGCAACCTCTTTCTACTTCTATATCTGTTTCGAAAATTGTTCCCTTTAGTGCAGACTTATATGATGACGCAGTACAAGAGTTTGGCTAGAGCACTACAGTATCTCACTGTTACACGGCCTGATTTATCCTTTGCAGTTAATCAGCTTTGTCAGCCATGGCCACATGCATGCTCCTACCACATCACATTGGGAGCAACTGAAACGTGCCTTGAGGTATGTTAAAGGAACAATTCAGTTTGGGTTGCGTATACGGAAATCAATGTCAAAGGAAATTCATGCATTTTCTGATTCTGATTGGGTTGGTTGTCCTGAAGATCGTAAGTCCACTAGTGGTTTTGCTGTCTTTTCTAATCTTATATCTTGTGTCTGTAAGAAACAAAGAATTGTGGCTAGATCTTCTACTAAGGCTGAATATAAAGCTCTAGCAGATGTTTGTGCTGAAGTAACTTAGATCGTTTTACAATTGCGTGAGATCAAAGTTCCATGTATCTCTATCTCTAAACTATGATGTGATAATCTTGGTGCTACTTATATGTGTGTAAATTCCATCTTCCATGATCATACCAAGCACATTGCGATAGATTATCACTTTGTTCGAAATAAAGTTGCTGTTGGAGATATTCAAGTCAATTTCATCTCAACAAAAGATCAACTTCCATACATATTTACAAAAGTTTTGCCTAATCCTAGATTTTCTTTTCTTAAGGACAAATTACAAGTTACTAGCATACCGTGTGCTTGAGGAAGAGTATTAGGACTCTATGTATTTGAGTCTTATTATGACTCCCTATGATTCATCTTGTATATATTTCCTTAGTCAGTAAAGTTGTCATATACATCTTATTCAATACAATTATTACCGTTCTCATTTGGGTTATTATTCCTTAATTACTATCTTGGATTCCCTTTACTCTTCGAGACCACAAAAATCCGGATTTTAGCAATGACACTAATAAAGACATGCTACTTAGGACAAATTAAAGATTAGTACGCCTATCGATATGAATTTCTAATTTGAAATAAAAATATTTTAAAGGTTGATTAGTAATTTTGGTCTTTTGAAATATGCATGAATAGTCAAATTAATTAATCTATTATAAGAGCGTGAGAATATTAATCCATATTGTTCTCATGATGTTGAATCCCAATCCCAAGAGCCTCTCACACCCCGACCCAACAGAGCATCTGGGAGGATGTAAATCATAGTAACTCAGCTGAACACAGAGATTAGACTTAATCATGAGTTATTATTCTCAAACTTCACCTCTGTGATCAACTGAGCTGCCCAAGCGGACATAAGAATGAGAATATTAATCCTAATTACGCACATAGATGACAATTTTTATCACATGCTTTGATTTATCAGTTTTAAAAATTAAAATATAGGTAGCACATTAGCATGTGAACCTAAAATATGTCAAATACATGTGAACCTAAAATTGCCACTTTATTATATAATTAAGGGTGATATTGATTTACTCCAATGCTTGATGTATTAATTTGACAATTTTATGTATCTTTGAGATTAAATGTGCAATCCACGGTCCACCCGATGTTTTAAGTCCATCCTTAATGTACTTTAGGTATGTCCAAAATAAAGTTATTAATTATAAAAAATTATGACTGAAATAGAGTACTTAGTGCTAAAGGTGACTTCAATTCGGTTCTAGTTTTCGAACTAACTGGAAAACAATACTTGATTCAGCTTGAAGTGATTGAATCATGATCATCCCTAATTAATGCATGGGATAACTTAATCTGATTAAGGTGTCTCCTTCGGATGGATTCACCTCGAAGGGGAAAAGAATAGGAGAGTTGATATTTACACAAAATCCCACATGCAAGCCTCATAAAGGGGAAGGGGGAAGACCTTCAAAAGTTGAAAGATCATAACTTCATGGAAAATACTGGACTTTCATTTTATATTCTCAATTTTTACTCAATCTCACAAGTCTTTGATGTGAATATTTTTAAAAGATTTATCCACTTTGAATATAATCTTTACACGGTTGTCACTGAGGTTCAAACATTAATATTTTCTCTCAATATTACCTACTGAACTGTTGAGCTAAGTCCAGGGACAACTCTAACTTCATATGGTCCATTGGTAGTCCGTAGTATTCTGTCAGGCATACTTCCAGATAAATGTTGGCAAGAAATGGTTTAGGTGAGAGCTTGTCAGAGAAAGATAAGACTTTTTTTTTTCTTTCTCCAAATTTCAACACATTAAATTGAATTCAATTTACAAAATTTGGGGTGGTGGTGGTGGGGGGCAGACAGAGGAATTTCACGGACGAGGAATGGCTGCCAAAAGCCAAAAGCCAGAGAGGATAAAGACAGAAGCACCCACTTAACCTTCATGTGTTTCTACAAGAAAAACCATTCATCAATCTTGTCTCTTTCCTCATACACCCCCAGCTGTCTCCTCACCCCATCCTCCAATCCCATCCCGCCACCTCACACTCCCCTCCGCACCACCCTTCCTTTAAAAAGTTACTTAAAAAGATACCCTTACTGGCAGTATGGACAGTTCAATTGATTATCGAGTAAAGTTTGAGAACAATAACTAGGGATTGCAAAACAAAAGTTTAGCGGTCTCTGCTCGGGAGCTCCTTGTGCACAGTAAGCAAAGCAAAAGTTTAGTGGTCTCTGCTCAGCTAAATTACCATAATTTACATTTTTTCAGATGTTCTGTCGAATCTGAGTACGGGAGCTTGGGGTTGGGGATTCACATTTTAGAAGAATGAAAGTTACTTAAACATTCCCAAACCCCTCCCTACCCACCAACGCCAATCAAGCTCTCAATTCCCCCATCATTAATGGCTTCCACTTCCACAACCCTTTTCTTGAATTCCTTCATGATTTTCTTGATTCTCCGGCTCCCACACAACACTCTCTCTCTCAATCTCCCCACCTCCACCATCTCAGCTGCGCCGTCATTGCTCCCCTTCCCCCCTTCATCTTCGCCGCCGCTCCCTCCGGCCTTATCTCCCGACATTACTCCGCTGTTTCCGTCGCCCGGCGGCTCTGAGCTTGCTCCATCTGATTCTTCACTGCCCACAATCCCTTCAAGCCCCAGCCCCCCAAACCCGGACGAGATTCTAGCTCCTGGTCCTCTAATGGCGGCTCTTTCACCCTCTGGGTCATTGCCAGTTTCACCCTCTGTTTCTCTTCATGCACCACTCATCATGGTTCTTGCTGTCATGGCATTACACTCTGCTGTATAAAACCGCCTCCAATAATAGTATGTGAGTGGTCTACTCGGTTTCAGTATTCAATATATAGATTATATAATCGTATCTGTATATTTTTCTTCTTTTAAGTATATATATAAAACTCTGCTTTGATTTGTAGTTTTATACCTACAAGATTTGCATTAGTATATCACCTTTTCCACTTTGAGTATTATAATTCATCTATTTTGCACTCTATTTTCATATCACAAATGGCTTTGCATAATTGCTTCATGAAAATTTCAATGAATACCTTTGATATTGTCGGGCGAAGACCATGGTTGCAGTAGGTGCTAATCGCTAGTCGGTCGGTAAAAAAAAAAGAGTGTACCACGTGTGTGGGTATATATATATATATATATGGGGGAAAAAATTAGCAAGACCAAGTCAGCCGAATTAACTTGACTAACTCGGCCAAATTGGACTAGTTAATTCGACCGAGTTTGCCACTAATTCGACGAGTTAGGTGCCTAGGCGGCTGCATAGGCCGATTTTGTAACAGTGGCAGAAGCCGATAAAGGGTCAAAGTCCAGTAATTAGTGGCTAGGTGATTGTTGGGCGAAAGTCGGTGAAGGGCCAAGTCCAGCACCCTGCTTCTAGAAAATGTGAAACTCCTTCATTGTGTGCTATAGCTTACTATGCCGTTAAAACTATGAATTATAACTGTTTTTGACCTAGTGATAAGCGTTTTGAGTCCCAACTCTGATTCCTAACAGATATCCATATCAATTTCAATGAATCATGATTACAAAATCACTGGAGAAATAATGGGTTAACAGTACAAAATCAGAATTTGCAAGAACAATATAAAGGATAGATTAGTTAACATCAGCCATCATACACTACAAGGAATCCTTACAAATGAAATAAGATTTAGAGCATATTGTCCTCTCTATATGTCATTATACTACATGCTGCTGCCCTGCCTAAGATTACTGGGATAGAATGAAGTCTGGAGTCTAGAAAGTAACCAAACTAACTTCTGCCTTTGGAGGTCCACTGAAGAACCTCCTCCAGAATGCTTCTTTCGGTATTGGTACCTTCGACTTGGGAGATTGATGGGAGTTCCTAGTACCAACGTTCGAGGGGATTCTATTCCTCAGACTTTTGTTCTCTTCCCTCAGCAAATCCATAGCCAAACTGAGTTGTCTGATGGCCTCCCGTTTCTCTTCGTCTTTCTGCACCAGAACTTCCTTTTGAATTCTATTCTCTTCTTTGAGTCTCTCCATCTCTTCCTTCAGCTTTGCCACTTCACCATTGTCAATCTCATCTCTCTTCATATCTTTCAGCGCTCGAGCTTCTTCTTTCATTCTCTCGATCTCTTCCCTCAGCTTCAACGCTTCGCCAATACAGACTGAATGTGAATCTTCCTTTTTAACTTCTTCTGGCTCGGGGTCATCAACCTCAGACAGATCAGACTCCTCGAGGTCAAAGGTTTCAGAATAGCTATCATACGCTTTATCAATCGAGCTCACTACTGGCTTCTCGGCCTGACATTTGATGTTGGTTAATGGCAATGCCCACGGTGTTAAAAGCCGGGCACCAGATTCAGACTTCACTTGATCATATCCCTCGGCTAATAAGCAATGGGCTCTGTAATAGTCCCGAACCATACTGATGAGCTCAGGCCGTTTCTTGTAAAACATCTCTGCTCTCTGGGCAAAGGAATCCGCATCTCCCTCGATTATCCTTAGCATTGCATTCGTCTTCCTATCCAGCTCTACAAGTAGCATAATTGATTAGCTTAATTGCACATCCAAACAAGGAATAGATAGCATTATAGCAATAACAATACTTTAATTGTGGCAAAGGAAATAGAACTAAAAGTAATACTGATAATGAGATCTTAAAGTGACTAAAGATTGTATTTTTAAATGACTACAAAGAGTCCAGCACATTATTAGGCAATCAATTGAATCTTTTTGTTTTGTTAACACCATGATGGAGACTCCACTTTTGGAACTTTTGTGAAAGCTACAATGAACCAATTGTATAAAGGTTTTAACACTACTAATGGGCAAGTGATGGGAATATATATGAATTATCAAGTGCAACTATTACACAATGAGGCATGGCATCATAGAATTGGAGTTTTTATCACCCTCTTAAGACTAAAAGACTAAAAGAGGAGGCCTGCAAGATCCTCTGAACGTGAATCCCTATTAGGATCAAGCACTTACCACTTAACGCCAAAAACTATACTAGTAGCGAAGACACAACTTTATTTCCTTATACAACCATGCCATTTACCGGCCTCTGCCCAACAATCCCCTAACCAAAAAATTCCTAATACTTTTGAGTATAAGGTGACTTTTAGGAGAAAAGAAATTTCTTTAGTTCTGCACTTTCATAATTATAATTTCTTTTACCAAAAATAGAGGAACACACAAGTAAAAGCATTGACAAAAATACACTACATAATTGGCTAACAGGGCCTGAATGAAAACAAACTCAACAAGTCTATTAAAAAAGTATTATTTCAAATGCAGCTTCAGAAATTTCATGTTTTTTTTTTGGAATTTCAAAATGTATGCAAGATAGATTATGCATGTTTAAGGCCATTTCCAGGGAGACGGCAAATCGCCAACAAGTTTGGCGTAGAGCAGCAAAAACAAGGCTCCAGTGGGACACCATAACACCAAATAATTTGGTGTTGAGGAACAGTGCCGCCTCATACTGTTCATCCACGTCATATATGGCGCAACAGTATTCATTCACGCCATTTGCTGACTACTCTTTTCTTCCTATTTGTCCCTACTTTGCCTTTTATCTTCTTTTATAATTTCTTTTGTATCCTTTTTGGTTTTTTATATTTACATATTTTGTTAAATATTTAAACATAAATTGTATATTATTTTTAAAAAAGTATATCATTATAAAGATCTCATCAAGACTATTAAAACAAGATTAATATTGAATATAATTTAATTAAAAATAAAATTACATAAAACATAATTAAACTTTAATTAATTTATTAAATTACAACTATATGTTATATTAAAATAATAAAAGTATAAATATAAACTTTTAATTTATGAGAATATAAATTATTTTAGTGTAGGAATAAAATTTGGTGTAAATGGTTGGAGATGAAAAAAATTTAGTGTAAGAAAATGCTGAAAATATTTTTTTAGTGTAAAATTTGGTGTAGAATTTGGTGTTTTGGGTTGGAGATGACAGTCAAAAGCCTCCAACGGCTAAAAGATACTGTAATATTTTATAAATTCACAAAAAGAAAAAAATCAGATTCTTGCAAGCATTGAACATGAACAGTCATACGATAAGAAGAAATGAAATTAAAAAAAAAAAAAAAAAAAAAAAAAAAAACTTGAATTGCCTGCAAGTGTTGATTGAAGCCATGGGGAGCGATTTTTGTAGGTGTTGTTCTCAGCCTCAAACCACCACCAGTGCGATGATAACTTGCTATCCCTTGCCTCCACCATCTTTATTCTGATCAGACCTTAAACAAAAACAATGCATTAAAACCAGCAAATCCACTCAAAAATAAAATGGATTTTTCTTAATCAACACTAGATCTGCTGAATCTTCGAAATTATACGCAGATTTCGTTCTCTAAATCCTCGACGGGCAACAAGGGCAAATGTGCTTAAATTTGTCGTTTATTTTTAGCCATTCAAAACCAACGCAAAGCGCCAAACAGGCAGAAAGAATATCTCAAGAAAAGAAAAGAAAACCCGGACCCGATCCTACAAAAACGGGCGGGGCGGAAGAAGAAAACGAATACCGCTAAAACCACTTTGCTTTCAACGGCTCTCTTGAGCATACAAGATCGAGCTCTTGAGCATTTCCAATAATGGCGGACTTATCCGTTTTCTTGGAAATCAGAGGAGAGCTTTAGAGCTTTTTTCCAACAATCCCGTTGTGCTTAACAACCAAAAAAAGGGGAAAATGAAATTGAAAAATCATCTTTTTTTCATGAAAATGGAAGAGCTTATAAGCTCAAACTTACGCTTTTGAACTTCTCCGCCGGTCACCGTCGCCGTCGCCTACTCGCAGTTACAAATTTTGCAGACAAAAATCAGAGGAAAATTTAAACAACGTCCTTGACGCCTTGGATTTGGAGCTTGTCTCACCATATCCCCATAATAATTATATATATCACCCAATCCACGCGTTCCACACCCAATCACCAGTTACGCTCTCAATTCAAAATTGTGGGACCACCTACAACAGTAGCTTTTCAAAATCCTAATATTCTATTGAGTAGGAAAATCCAAAATTCTGATACAATACTATATAAGGAATTTATTAAAATTATGTATACCTACTCAAACAATAAAAAGTAATCAAAACATACTATATTAGGAGACTAAATATTACGGAGTATCATGTAAATTTGTGATATAATCTATCATTACCTATATAATATATTATGCTAGATCAGATTTTAATTTTATGGTCAAAAAGTAATTATTTTTGTTTATTCATTACCAAAATAAAGACAACATTTTTTTTTTGTCAGGCCATATGGTGTCATGGGCATGTCATAACTGTCGGATTCATATTTAAGCCCGTACTATATTCATACAATAATTGATATAGATAATTTTTTATGGGCATATTTTGTAGATACATATAATCCATAGTTTTATTTTACGTGATTAATTGGATGAATAAATATTAATTCAAATTATTCATAATTTATTTTTTAAAAATCAATTTAGTGGGTTAGCATATAAAATTATAATTTTACTAAACACAATCAATATAATTGTATGTATGTATTTGATTCTTTTTTGTATTTAGTTATCCTGTGAGAATCTTTATTAATTTGAGAATTGAGATATAAAGAAATGAATAAATCACATGTAATTAAAAAAAAAAAAAAAAAAAAGGAAAATGGCACTTTTTACCCCTGAGTTATATACTTATAGCATTTTTTCCCTCTCAATTATTTAGGTAAGCACATTAGCCCCCTCAATTATTCTAAAAGTGGTGCCTTTTTCCCCCTAATATATTAAATTGACATTTATACCTAAAAGTAAACATTTTATTTATTTTATTATTCCAACAAATTATTGCGTATACGTAGAGATGACCACGGCTCGGTTTGAATTGAACCGGATACTAAAGTAATCAAATTAATAGTTTACGGTTATAATTCAGATATAGAACCCAATATTTAAATGTCAATTTATTAAAATTATGTATCAAAAAAATTGAATCTTGAACCGTGAACCGGCGGTTCCGGATCTGATTCACGATTTTGAACCGTCTTTATTTTAAAATTTTATTTTTTATTTTAAAATAGTCTAAATTCAACAATAAATGTATTTTATTTTTTCAGTTCGGAACATGAACCGTCCGTTCCGGTTCACGATTTTAATAAACTCTAAATATCGAATTTCGATTCTAAATTGTAATTGGAATATTTCGGTTTGGTTGCTATAGTGTTTGTTTAGTTTGAACCAAATTATGGTCATAATTTGTTGGAAAAAAAAAATAAATTAAATATTTAGTTTAAGGGTAAATATGTCTATTTAACATTTCAAGGGGAAAAACAACCACTTCAATAATTTAGGGGGAAAAAATGCTATAGGTATATAACTCAGGGGGAAAAAGTGCAATTTTCTCTAAAAAAAATTATTAAGTGAGTAATTTTACAAGGAAAAAAAACAACATATTTCACCAAAATTTATCCAAAAATCTGAAGTACTGCTAAAACTTTATTTATTTGGTAATAATTACAAACCAAAAACGCTTTGAATATTTCTATTCGTTATTCACTTATTCATAACTATTGACTTATCTTGATTTTAGTATAATTAAAACAGTAAATTATGGCTACTGATCTCGTAAATCCTATGCATGAATACTGTGGTCCATGTATGATGCGGCCTTTCCAAAGAAATTACAACGGTTATACAATATATCATGGTCCACACAGCTCAAAAACATCATTATTTTGTTAATTAAGTACGGAGTAATAAATAAATAAAGGAATAAGGGTCAAATAGGCCATTGAACTGCACACAAGAATGCAATTAGGCCACTGAACTTAAAAAACCTACAATTGGGTCCCTAAACTAACCAATTTCATTCAATTTGTCCATTTTTCAGGTTTCTCAAGTTGCTAACAAGTTACCCCTCCACCTAGGATGCATGTGTGGCATTTAAAAAAAAATTAATTTTTTTAAAAAATCTTAAATTAGTTTTTTTTAATGTTTAATAAATAAAAATTAAAATAATTTGTTTTTTTGAAAATAAAATCCAAGCCGTCTTAACAAATTATTTTATATTCAAAAAAAATTGTTTTAGTTTTTATTTATTAAACATTAAAAAACTAATTTAAAAATAAATTATTTTAGTTTTTATTTATTAAATATTAAAAAAACTAATTTAAAAATAAATTATATTTAAAACAATGACACATATGCATCCTAGGTGGAGGGGTAACTTGTTAGCAACTTGAGAAACTTGAAAAATGGACAAATTGAATGAAATTGGTTAGTTTAGGGACCCAATTGTAGATTTTTTAAGTTCAATGGCCTAATTGCATTTTCGTGTGCAGTTCAGTGGCCTATTTGACCCTTATTCCATAAATAAATAAATAACAGCGAACGTTACTAATCACGCATTTATGATATGTTCAAAATAAAATGAAATTATTGTGTATTTAAAATGAAATTGAATAAATGTCTCACATATTGTGTGTATATTGTCAAATGAAACTGTAGTTGAATTAAAATAATACTTTAGTTGTGCTGTAATAAAGCTATAGTGTATCTACAATGAAATTGATGAGTAACATGTATCATATATTGAGTGTACATTGTCAAATGAAATTGTAGTTGAATTAAAATGATACTTTAGTTGTATTGTAAATCTGTAATGAAACTAAATATATTGTCAAATGAAACTGTAGTTATATCAAAATGATACTTTAGTTGTGCAATAATGAAACTGTAGTTTATCTAAAATGAAATTGAATAACAAGTTCCATATATTCAGGGTATATTGTCAAATTAAACTATAGTTGAATTAAAATGATATTTTAGTTGTGTTGTAATGAAACTGCAATATGTATAAAATGAAACTAAATAACATCTCTCGCATATTGAGTGTATATTGTGAAATGAAACTATAGTTATATCAAAATTATACTTTAGTTATGTTGTAATGAAACTACAATGTATATAAAATGAAACTGAATATCTTCAAAAAAAAATGAAACTGAATAACAGGTTTCACATATTTGAATGTATATTGCCCAATGAAATCGTAGTTGAATTAGAATTATATAATATACTTTATTGGTGTTGTAAAAAAACTACAATGCGTATAAACTATAAAATGAAATTCAGTAACGTGTCTCACATATTGAATGTATAATGTATTAATGTCAAATTAAACTGTAGTTAAATCAAAATGATACTTTAGTTGTGTTGTAATGAAACTACAATGTATACAAAATGAAACTGAATATGCCATAAAAAGTAATTAGTTGGACGGAACGGTCGAGCAGGTGTCATTCCTTTTCATTAAAAGAAAAGGCACTATTTTGGACCGTGGTCCACAATAAAATTTGCCAATAAATTATATCGATGCTAAACTTCTAAGATGAGTTAATGATAAATGTTTATTTTTAATATATTAGATATTTATTTTTAGATAATATATTAAAAATTAATATGTAACGAATTTTCGGTATACTAAAAATGGTCCATATGACCTCTTTTTATATTTTAAGTATTATCATTTTAGGATTTTTAACGGGAAATTTTATTTGCATCATTCAATTTGCTATTTACACTACTCTTTTAATAAATATAATAATTTTATAGGTGGTGTAAATACAAAAGTGTTATTTACACCACATCATTAAATGTGGTCAAAGATTAATAATATTTATTATCCATTTCTTTTTTAACAATCAAAATATTAATTATTAAAAAAAACAAAAATAGAAAAAAAAAATCCCGTCACCTTCTCCGGTGAGAAGGCGAGGGTCTGCCTTCTCATCGGAGAAGATGACGGGTTCATTTTTTTAAAAATTTTATTTAATATTTTAATTAATTAAATTTTAAATTAAAAATTTATTAATTACGCCTCATAAATGAAGTTTGACCAAGGTGGTGCAAATAGCAAAATGAACCCCTATTCGACTATTTATACAACTTATGTAATTATTGAAAGTTTTACCTATTTACAATTTCAAGAATACTATATATCACTTTTGATCAAAGGGTGGTGCAACACCCTTTTTAACCGTTCACATTTCAAAAACTTCCAAAATCCTATTGTCATTTTTATATAGTACAAAAATGGAAAATGAGAAAGTGGGAATTTTAGAAAATATAGCAAACAAAATGTATGGATAATGTGTCTATATTTTAATTGAATGATAAAAAGTGATTATGGAAAGAATTTAAAGACTAATTCAGTCATTATAAAACAATTCAAAAACCAAAAACGTCATATATATACATATATTGGAGAAATAGTGAGAGACGAGAAAGTGTGAAAATTGAATATTTAAGTTTTAGAGTTTTCTACATATATTTGGTTAAATATAAAAACATATTAAGTAAATATATATGTGGTTTCATTTTGGGTGTTCTACAAACCCTAGGAGGTATTTGAGCTTTCCTTTTGGTAGGAATAAAAGAGATGTCTTATGTTTTATTGAAAAGAAGTTACAACAAAGCTTATGTGGTGGGGGGAAAACTCTTCTATTTTAGGTCGACGAGCTCAACTTGATTGTGCCTCACATTTGGCAAGCTCATATTGAAGGACTCGTCTTGTCCCAGGTTGCCATGCTTGTGATTAGCATAGCTTACGCCGAAGGATTTGTCCTTCCCCATGAGACTAAGCTCCCATTGAAAGACTTGCCTCATCCCTCGAAATCGAGTTCACGATTTTTTGAGCTCGTGCCGAAGAGGGAATGGGGGTCCGACCCCAAGTATTAACCCCATTTGCCGACCTCAATTCCCAAAATAGGGGGGAGGTTCGAGGTCACCTCGGTTTGGGCTTATAGCTAAGCTTGATGTGTACTTTATGGTGATGAGCTCACTTTGCTTCGACTTGTAGTCGATACTGTTAGTAATGTTATATTTCCTATTTAATTATTATGTAACATTAGAGTTGAAATAGTCCTATAACTATTAGCTTTTGACTAGGTGTAGTTAGGTAGGACTCTAATATCCTTTTGTATTCCTGTATCTTCTCAGAGTTCAGTTTAATGATAATCTGTTTCACTCGTCTGGTATCAGTAAGCTAGGTGAACCTATTATCTCTCCCTCTCCGAATATGTCGACTAATTCTAGCGAACGGACAGTCACCGCCGCTACACCGTCGACCACCACCACCCCAAACACCCTTTCATCGGCTCACCACTTCATCTCTATGAAGTTAACCACCAAGAATTTCCTGTTTTGGCGCACTCAGCTTGTTCCATTCCTCCGTGGACAGGGGCTACTCGGGTTCGTCACAGGCGATACGACGTGCCCGCCGGCGACGTTGGACACCCCAGCTTCCGGCGATGCTGCTTCCGGCGTCACGGCTACCACGTCTCCGAATCCCGCTCATGGCGTATGGGTACAGCAGGACCAAAGCATTCTGTCTCTGCTTGTATCCTCGATAGCGGACGAAGTGCTATATCTCACCGTAGGCCGCACCACGTCGCAGGAGGTCTGGTCGTCCATCACAGCCGCGCTTGGTTCCTCCACACGGGCGAGATGCCTCAATCTCCTGGCGCAATTCCAGTCGCTCAGGCAAGGCGATAGTACACCCGTGGAGTATCTCGGCCGCGCACAATTACTGGTGGAGGATTTAGCGTTGGCCGGCCGTCCGGTCTCGCTTGATGAACAAAACCTCTGGGTTTTCCGAGGACTCCGCCCCGAATTCAGGTCGATGGCTTCCTCCCTTGCGGCATCCGGAGCACCGGTCTCGATTCCGCAACTTTCGGACTATCTCCAGGCCCAAGAATTTATCTGGGCAGATGAATTCTCCACTGCCGGAGCTTCCTCCGGGCACACGGCGTTGATCGCTGGCCGGGGCTACGCACAGAATCAGGTCGCCGACGGCGGACCCCGGCATGCTGGTTCCGGACAGCAGTGGCGCGGCAGAGGTGACCGTGGTCGGGGTGGACAAGGCAGAGGGCGTGGCGGAGGACCGAGATGCCAAATCTGCCGGTCGCATGGGCATACGGCGCTACATTGTTTCAAGCGCTACTCCGGCGCACCGCAACCGCAAGCCCATGCGGCAGTTCCCGGAGACGAGGCGGCAGTTGTGGCAGACGCGTGGTACCTGGACACCGGGGCGTCGTCGCATGCTACGCCCGATCAGACGATGATGGCGCAATCAGATCCCTACTCCGGCGATGATGTGCTCCGCGTAGGCAACGGATCAGGTTTGGGTATAACCAGTGTTGGCCATGCATCATTAAACTCTGCGTCTAGAACTCTTAAATTAAATAATATTCTGCATGTCCCCCGTCTTTCCTTACCGTTGTTATCAGTTAATCGTTTTACAATTGATAATGCTGTATATTTTGAATTTCATCCTGATTATTTTGTTGTGAAGGACTGTCACACCAAGGCGATGCTCCTTAGGGGTCCTACCACCGGGGGTCATTCCCAACTTGCTTGTGCCCGACTCGTGATTGTCGAGCTCACGTCAAAGGACTATCCCCTCTCTACGAACCCAATGTCATGATTTTCTAACCTCATGCCAAATGGATTACCTCGCTCTTAGAAGTTGAGGTCATGATTTTGTGCAGAAGAGGTCGTCTCGCTTCAAGAAGTTGAGTTTGTGAATTGCGGAACTCACGTCGAATATATTGCGTCATTCTAAGAGGTCAATGTCATGAATTGTCGAGCTCGCATCGAACGAATATTCCCACATCGAGGAGCCGAGCCTAGGAATCGTCGAGCTCTCACGGAAATACTCACATCGTCCCGAAAACCCGAGCTCATGAATTGCTGAGCTCACTTCGAAAGACTCAACTCGCTCTGAATGGTCGAGTCGACCCTTGAGGTTGGATTGAGGTTAACCGACCCCTAGGTCATGTTCTAGGTGGGTGACTCCATGATTGGCCGAGTTCTATGGGACATTGGGACTATCATCTAGATCTTGGAGGGATAAGCTCATGCTTTCTATGAACAGTTAGTTCGGAAAAAGAATTTCTATAACTCAAATTATGTTTGTTATTTGTGAGGGGGGAATGGGGGGCTTGACCCCAAGTGTCGACCTTGAGGCCCTAGGCCATGATCATCACCATGTTGACCTCGTGGAATGGAGGGTACGACAAGTGTCGACCTCGAGGCTAATAGCGTAGATCCTAAATCAACTCCCCCTAATAGAGTTACGAAGGACTTGGGCCTCGACCTTGATTGTCTTTGTTGGCATTACTAGGTCAACCCTCACGTAGTGCTGAATGAAGAAGTTTTCCCTAGGGGCGTTACAATGTTCGACCTCACCTAGCATCGAACAAGAAGGTATTCCCTAGGGATGGTATAAGGTTCGACCTTGCTCACCACCGAACGGAAGAACTCTTTTAGCCTAGGTCAATAACTTGGCCAAAACGGTAACTCCCTTGGGCGATAGGGGGGTCCACCCTCGCCTATCACCAAACGGAAGAGTCCTTTGACCGATGTCAAAACCTTGGCCAAATTGACTAACTCCATAGGGGCGATACAATGTCTGACCTCGCCTATCGCCAAACAGAAGAACCCTTTGACCGATGTCAAAACCTTGGCCAAAATGACTAACTTCCTAGAAGCGATACGAGGTCTAACATTGCCTATTGTCGAACGGAAGAATATTTTGGGTGAGGTCAAAACGACTAACTCCGTAGGGGTGATATGGGGTCCAACCTCACCTATTTCCGAACGAAAGAGTCCTCCGGTTGAGGTCAAAACCTTGACCAAAATGACTAACTCCCTAGGGACGATACAGGGTCCAACCTCGCCTATCACATAGTCCTTTGGCCAAGGTAAAAACCTTGGCCAAAATTAATAACTCTCTAGACCTTAATAGAAACAATGATGCAATCACATAAAGGGGAAGAGGTTCGACTTCCTTCTACATCAACTAGACAAACCCTATGGATAAGAGAAGCTTCGAACTCAACCCACAGGGCATTCTGATATTAAAAGACCGGCCAAGGAGGTAATGACATCCTCGAGCCGAGGTCTACCAAGGCCCCACACTTGGGGTCGCCCAACCTCGACGAGGCCTTAGGCTGAGCGAAGCATAGAGTTGACCTAAGTAGTGGCTGACCTCACCAGGAACCTAAACCCAAGCTCGAGAATCCTGCACAAGACGAAAAGTTAGAGCATAAACGAAGAGGGTTTAATTGAGGTTGTGACATAATCACATAAGGAAGAGGAGGTCTGACCTCCATCAGGACCAACTAGATGAACCTCATTGACGAGAAAGGCTTTGACCACAACTCATGGGCATTTTGAAGTCAAAGACCCCTACATTGGAAGTCAGTTGAGCTCAACAAGGCACAAGGCCGAGCAAAGCACCACGACCAATCCCGAAGCACGAGGTCGAGCCGGCTACAACAACCGACCCTTAGGCACAAGACCAAGCCGAGCACAATGGTCGACCTCAAGGCACGAGGTTTAGCCAAGCACAATAGCCTACCCCACCCAAGAGGGGGGAGAGGGAGGGAGGATATTTTATAATTGATTAAACATTTTAATGAACCACATATATTTATAGTTTTACATTATATTATAAAATATCATTAATATTAAATTGATGTGCATTAATGTTTGAAATTAATTTTGATTGTCAAATACGGAGTAATAAACAGCAAACTAAAATAATCAAAATAAACTTCGTAAATCACATAATCTAACAAAATAATAATAATTAGTGTATTATTAATCCACAATTTAGCCACAATTCTCTACTAAAATAACAATAACTATCTGCCTATCAGAGACTCAGAGTTCAAGTTGAACTAGAGCAAGCCTCTGCAAAAGCACATCATGACTCCAATGTGAATTGTTAGAGGCCAACTAACCCCTGGAAGTTAGAAAATTTGGGAGAGAAATTACAAGTTAGTTTATCTGGTGAACTGTATTCCAAACACTAAATTCTAGTAAAGGCTGCCATCTCAAATCAACCGGATTAGTATTCCACTTTCACGACCCATTTGTTTGGTTGATGAGAAAGAATTAAATTTAAATTACATATAAAAAAAAAAATTACTTAAGATCAAACACCCATCAGCTCAAACTCAACACTACTAAGAATACATATAGAATTAATTTTATCATTATTTGCATCAGTTTTAGGAGAGTAGATTTGTGAGTCAGACATGTACAATGCTACTGTACTAACGTCGTGGAGACTACTAATTGCTATGTACACATTAAGAGCATGATAGCAAACACTCAAATCCCACACAAGTGGGTCGGGTTGCATATAATACATCTTCTGCTAAGCAATGCTGGCTGTTTCAGTGAAGAATATCTCCCCCTCCCTTTGGTGAGCCAGGAGGAGGAACATCATCCACAAATCCTCCCCCTCCCCCTCCAAACACCGGTCGCATCCATGAATCATCAAACTTCCTCCAATAGTAATGAACTGTGTTGGTAGGTTGGCTCAGAAGCATGTATAAACTGGATAGTTGACGAAGACTCACATTCCCCATTTCACCCGCATCCGATCCTTGTTCAGTGCTTAATAGAGGGAGCAGAGTGGATTGTTCAGGAGAAAGCAAGCCGCCCGAATGTTGTGACTGAGGCAACAGCCACCTCACAAGAGGCTTGGTTAGCAATCCAAACACCTAAGAAGATTAATAAACAGATTATTCGAGTACCATTTATGTCCTACATTTTGTATATTACTCTCTCAAATAGCAGCAGCACAACACTATTGGTTGGTAACAACATGGTTGAAAAAATTGCTAGGCGCCCCCCCGGGCGCCTAGGCAGCGATTCATCGGCGCCGGTGTATTTTTTTATTTTTCAAAGATATGTTAAATTTTTTATTTTTATTTTTTAAGACTAATAATTATAAACTATTTTAATACTAAAATATTAAATATTAACCTACAAAACATCTAGAATTTGAACAATTTAGGGTTATTTTGCTCAAAACGATCCTCGTTTTGAGTGAAATAAAACATTTTAAAAAAAGAACAATAGATCAGTCGATTAGGAGGCCTAGTGGTGCCTAGGAGACCTAGGCGGTCAGCACCTAAGCGCCCTAGGCGGTGCTTAGGCGGCCGCCTAGACCACCGATTATGGTGATACGCTAGGCGACCGGCCGGCGCCTAGCACCTAGGCGCCGATTACTGGGTAACAAACACATTGAAAAAGAGCAATTCTGTATAATGTCATAGTGAGAATAATCACTTCGGACAGTTAACATTAAGGAGCCAGGTCATTTACCACATTACTAAAGAGGACAACAGTGATGGTGCATGTGATCGTAATAGCGTTCGCTGGTTGTTGTGTATGGCCAAACCTTGTGAACTGTCAATAAACCAACAATCAGGTTATAAGCCAAACCAATTCAACCATTTATTACTTTACTATTATCGCGTATATTTCTAAAAGGAACTTGTTTACTAAACAACTATTCCGTATCAATTTACCTGATTATAAGCCAATGCCATAGAAACAGATCCTCGCATCAAACCAGCCCACCAAATAATTACCTGCATTGGGGTATGATAACAGTTTCTGTTAGAACCATCAGTTGACTTTCATCATAAAGTCTTAGGGAGCTCTTGAATATGACCTGCTGCTTGAAACTTATTCTGTCAGTCATTGTCTGCTTTGTACAATTAGATAAGAGGGACAGTAAAAAGACGAAGCATGCTCTTCCAACCAAAACCAGTCCAAGCAACACAGCACTTACTCCAACATATTTTCCAGGACTGTGGAGGTTTGAATCCAAAGTCAGAAAACATAAAAAGTAAAAAGGACTAAAGCGTATATCCGATAGAAGCTTTATACAACAAATGCTGCATTATTATAAAGTAGAAAGGAAACATGCATGTTATATTGCATTGTAGAATAGAATAGCAATTCTTAGGGCTACTTTCAACAACATTTACGGAGTATTAGTTTAGGATCTCACTTGGCCTTCACAAATTTCCATTTCTCCATGTCTAAGGCATCCATACCAACATATAGGAAGATGAAAATCTCTGCAATAAATGATAATGTTGCAAAAGCATGCCTGCGAAAAATCAGATTACATATAAAATATAGAGAATATGGAAAGTTGACAAACCCCCACCATCAACAGGGAGATGAAGTTTCAAGTTAACATGCTAGAAGCTAGTCAATTGTTTGCACAAAAGGGAGAGCCTTTCTCATTATTTGACGTTCGTAAATTTAGCATACTTACATACCTGGTTGTTACTTTAGAACTTGTGGTCACATTGTGCCAAGTATAATGTGACATGACAATCCCACAGAAGAATACTGTGAGAATTCCACTTAAGTCAAACAACTGAAAGGCATAGTAATAATTATCAATAAATACGCAAGACATCCCAAAGGTAAATACTAGCACAAAAAGGCATTATATGATCCATAAATAAGCGCCAATTGTAGGAACATACTTCAGCCAGCATATATGAAAGATAAGCCAAGAGAATCATGAGTGCAATTTCTCGATCAGTTGAGTGCCTGTGATGAGTATTAAAACAATAAGCTATTGAAGTTTTCTATAAAAGTTACTACATCCTACAAGATGTTACAGATTAAAGAACTTGACTGGAAACAGATGTAAGAAAAGCTATAAGTGGAAAACATACATCCAATGATCTGACCGGAAAATAATTAACGTTAAAAAAATAAAACAAAATAAAATAAATAAATAAGAAAATTGATAACATCAACATGAAAAGAATTTCTTATTCTAAAATGGCATACAACCACCAGAAGTATTGCCAGAAGACTAGAAATCTGAACAATAATAATCATTTCAGAGGTATTAAATCGTATTACTTCACTGGACTTGGTTATAAGCACTCCAGATGAGTAAAAGCTAAGCACCTCACGAAGTTCAATTTCAATCTGGGTAACATCAACGATCACCCAAATTTGGCAGAAAACTTCCGCACAAGATCCCAAATCATTCTGAAGTAACTTTCAATTTTGATAAAGTTTTAGGAGAAAAATAAAGTTCTAAAAAAAATCTGATTACATGCAGATTTCAGCACTATTAGAACAAAATGAAGGTGGCTTACTAAATTTGGGGTAATGGAAGCCCGTGAGGAAAAATAGATGTTGATGAAAGTTATGAAATTAAGGTAGAAATATGTCCAAAATTTTATATTTAATTAAAATTTAAAACTCCTGTAAAGTTGAAAGGGAAATTCTACTGAATGGCAATTACACCGGCTATGCTTTATGTAAGTGACAACTGGAGTGTAAATTTGTAACTGACATAAGAATGCTATTATGCAAAGGTAGAGAGAATACAAGAAAGAACCATATTGTTGAATAAGGTAGAGAGAATACAAGAAAGAACCATATTGTTAAATACTTATTCAACGCAAGGAACAAGTGGCACCTATTTAGAATGCTTAATAAATGGTGGTAATAGGTGAGAGGATGACAAAAACCAAAGCCAATAGGATACAAGTAATTAAGAAAGTTAGTATATCTCTATGGCCTATTGCATATTTAACACTGATTGATATTTAATGGAGGCATGGAATCCGTGTAGCTAAAACTTACTAGTTTGGGTTTTAACAGTTAGTTCAGTTCAAAAGAGTAATAACTTGCAAGAGAGTGATCATGTCAAGTTCAACTTTTTGACTTCCTCATTTGTAAACAAGAGCTACAATAGTTCATTTAGTGCTTGGAGACAGTAAAGTATAATGTAGTGGAGAACTCCTAAATACACCTTCAATTAATTTGTGCATTTTAACAACCAAGCAAGAACAGGATGAATGAAATTAATTCAAAACAAATGACAACAGCATTCAATGTGGAATAAATGATAGAAAGAATTACTAGACCTGCCAAAACATATCTTTTTGATTAGATACGCACTGATCAACCCAACCTGCAAATTTCAAATACAAATTTTATATAATTAGATAGAGAACATTTGGCAAACTGGAATTTTCGAGAATTTTTAGGTGTGGTTGCTAAATGTCCTTTGACATATGTCTAACTATGACCAAAAATTGATTTTTAATAGTAAATGCCACAGAATAGTCCAAAAGATCATGTATATCATTCTTTCAATAAAATGTGCTTCACTGAAAATTGTAGAATTGACCATCAAAACTATAAATATTACAATAACAAGACTTACCACAACTCCTAGAAGAGTGCTTGCTGAAAATAAATACAGAAAATTGCCTGCGAACTTTAAGGTCACTTCAAAATCAATGTTAGAGATGTCAAATTTTTGGATGGCATTAAAAAGTACCACAGATGTTGCATCATTTACAACACCTTCTCCAAAAACTAAACTATAGAGCAAAGGTGTTTCATCCTGATTGAGCACCTGTCAGTGAAACCACAAGCTCATGGTTAATAAATTCATTGTTGATGAATGATCCTCAATGACTGCGCAATAAATTAGTGATCCAATGTGGCCATACCTGCAAGGTGCAAACAGAATCTGTTGCTGAAAAGATAGCTCCAATTGCTGTAATGAATCAAATAGGATATTAGTTAAGATGCAAGCTTGCAAGAATTGATTCTTGAACTCCTGTATGACACAATGTAGCATCACACTATTGAGTTATTGAACAAACAATATAGTCACAAGCTAATAGTTCAAGTCATATACGATAAGTAGAAATATCAAACCAGTGTTCTTTTAAATTACCAATGAAGTTTAAAACATGAATCATCACTATGCAAAGAATGGTAACACGAACAGAGCACTGAAAAGAGTACTACCAAGATAATCCCGTAGATCCAAATAACCAATGTCTATCTTCTCAAATAACTCTTTGGCACCTGAACCAAAATTTTTAAATTATGATCCTGAATAATTAGAAACCACAAATGAATAATTTCTTTGGGATTACTGAAGATCAGAGTAGTGGCAGAGCATACCAAATGATATAATACAGAAGGATATTAATGTACCAATGACACCAAACATCGTAATGATGATAAAATTTCGGAAAAAATGCTTCTTTTTCACCTGGAACCTGGTAACTCATTGCCACAAAAATGTCAGGTTCAAATATTACTTTATCATTCAAATAAAAATGAACACTTTAAATGCATTTGCAATGCCAACCAAAAAAAAAAAAAGTGGAAATGATGATAAATCTCACCCAGCATTGAATATAATAGGTGGTAGTAGATAAATGAAGAAGAGTCCTTCATTAAATGCTAAAATGCGAGAACTTGCTCCGTTACTAGTCAGCAGAATGACTCCCCCCGTGCATACACCCTGCCAAACACCGATTGCTTGAAAACCATGTATCCAGAATTTCAACCAAAAAAAAAAAAAAAAAAAAAACTTGCTACTACTCACGATAACAAGAGCAGTGATGGACTCATTAATCCACCGATTCTCTTCAAGAAGATGGCCGATGACAATGCAGGCGCAGAGTAGAGATACGAACAAAGTTATGGAATTAATAGAGCCCTGATCCTCCTCAGACAATTTCAACCCCAACCTTACTACCGCGTTGACCAAGTTAGTCCCCATGATTTCAAACTAAGCCTCAAACTCCCCTGCAAATCGAGATACTATACTATGCTATAATAATTCGAAACAATTATCAAACGAACAACTGCTAAACTTCTCCACAATTAACCGGCAGCAAATCGCGGCAAGAAATGAGTAATATAGAGATTACCAGAACTAGGGTTTAGAGTTTACTTAGTGTGGAATGGAATAGATAGCGAAGGAAGGCGAAAGAAAAGCACGAGAAATGAGTAAAGGCAGTTTCCGTTTGAAGTAGCGCGAAGTTGACGAAACCGAAAAATGCAACGATCGGAGTTGTTAGGTGGGAGGGAGGAATGATAAGCTATATCGTCGGAGTAGGTGAGGGCGAGATGAGATTAGATTCGATTGAAGGCCTCGACGACGGTTGCGTTGGGGACGAGGGAACGAACATTCAATAGGTTGAGAATTTAATGTTAACACTAACATGGTTTGAAGAATATTTGAAAGGGGAGTTTCCAATTTTAAATACTCGACCTCGTGTAACTTGTGTTCACTTATGTACGTAGTAGGGTTGACCGCGCTTGAATTTAAACTATACAATATAGTGTAAAATTGAAATCACTCCAATAGTTTTTGATTTGGCAAAAATTTGTGTGAGATAAGTCGGGAAAAAAATTTTAATATTTTTATATTTTGATTTAAAAGTATTATATTTTCTCTTATAATTAAAAAGTAATGAATAAATATTAGTGAGAAAGCCGTGGCAGTGGTGCAGGTGGCTTGCATTGATTGGCACGGGAACGTATGGCCTTCCCACAATGTCAAGAGGCCTGGGTTTCAAGAGTGCCTTGTGTGGTTTATATGGTGCGCTATTTCTAAAGTGCAGGACTGTGTCATATGTGTGGGTTGTTGCTGATATATCCGTCAATTTTGCAACGCCCTGCTTCGCTTCACGGCTAGAGTTGTCGTTCAACAAGCTCGATATACCCATCATTTACATATTAGCGACCCTTCTGTGGTTTATGGTGCGCTAGAAATGACTTACTCTGGATAAATAAGCTCTTTAACACGGTTGGGGTTATCAAATTGGTGCACTGCTAGACTAAGGCTTGGCAGGACGATGCCAACAAAAACAATGGGATTAATAAGAGAAAATGGAAGTTAACACGACTGGTAAAGCTAAGTCTCATTTTATGGTAATTCCAATCGTGTGTATTTCAGGAAAGGTAAGGTTGGAGATTGGAGAAACGGTCTAACAGATGAAATGGCCACCATACTGGATCAAATTGTTGAAGAAAAGTTCAAAGGGACAAGGCTCAACTTCTGATCATGGCCGGTAAAATCATATCCAATCCATATTATATTAGTCATACCCTACGTACAATGGTGAAATAATACTTTGTGTATGTTATTATTATTATTACTACTACTAGTATTGTTATTATTATTACGTACACAACTAGAAAATATCACTTTGCCCGATCAAGCTTACAAGAGTCTCACCACTACTGCACTGACCAACACACATTACAAACATAACAAACTTGAAATATTTTATTTTACTTGTAAAACATTGTGGAACTCTCAAAATTTCTGACTGTACCCTGGTCATTTATGTTCCAAACGGGTTACCATCGAGATGATATTTGGACCTCGTTTGTGTGGTTAGGAGTGCATTAATGAGGTCAGGAAGTTCACTAATCCACTAGCCCTCCACTTCCCGTGGTGCTAAGACCGACACCACAAGAGAGTAAATAAAATAATCTTATAATTTCCTGAGCTTAATGCGGTTGGTTGGTGTTTTTCGACTTAAAAGTTATATCTTTGTTGCGGTTCGACCAAGGTCGTCCGATTCAGCGGTCAGCTATATACTCCGATCAATTGCTCGAGAATGTTATGATTTGAAGGCTAAATCGAACTAACCTATCGGTCGGACTTAGAATCAGGGAGATGATCTGGTTGCCCAGGCAGGAGTTCTAAATTTATATTGCGGTTTAGAGATCATTTCTATCGATATTGAGATTAGATTTGACATCTATCTAGATATCGGATTTATTGCGGTCTGTGGACCATTTTTACTAATATTGAGATCGGATTTGACATTGATCTAGGGATCAGATTTATTGCTGTCTATGGACCATTTTTTTTATTTTTTTTTACCGATATGAAATTGGATTTGACATAATCTATAGATCGGATATATTAGGGTCTAGTGACCATTTTTACCGAGACTGAAATTAGATTTTACATTGTCTAGGGATCCAATTTATTGTGGTCTAGGTTATGAGGGATATCATTTTACCGATACTGAAATCAGATTTGACATCAATCTAGGGATTGGATTTATTGTAGTCTAGGGACCGTTCTTCAAATTTATTTCTTGAACAAGAGATCGTGTATATGGTGGTCTTATGGTCATTCTTTGCCATTGTCAGAATTGACGGTCTTATTTCGTGTTTTTTCTATTGTTGATTGTGAGGTTCAGTATATTTGTAGAGATAGAAATCAAGCGATCAGTTCTCTTGCTAAAATTAATGGGACTTGGTCATCTCACTTTAAATGGATCGATGAACTGCCAACCTTTTTAACGACGTTATTTTAATTATGTTTGTTAAAAAAAAAAAAAAAAAAAAAAAAAAAAAAAAGACCACACCAACTCAAAAGAAAAATATAGATAGAAGTCAAAGAGCTCGAAATGAGAACAAAGATTAAAATAAGAAATGAGAAAACTGTAAAATAATAAAATAAAAATTTTTAAAAAAGATTTAGGGAAAATGACATTTTTTCCCTCTATGTTATAAGCTTATAGCACTTTTTCCCCCTGAGTTATTCATGCATTCATATTTGCCCCCTCAATTATTATAAAAGTGGCGGTTTCCCCCCTGATAATATTAAATGGACATTTCTACCCTTAAAACAAATATTTTATTTATTTCTCTTCTTCAACAAATTATTGCTTATACGTAGGGATGACCACGGTTCGGTTCGAACTGAACCAAACACTATAGCAATCAAATTAAAAAATTTCAGTTATGATTCATAACATAACCCAATATTTGGGTTTCCGTTTATTCAAAAAATTTCCGTTTCTAAATTCAACACTTAATGTATTTTATTTTTTCAAATCGTGGTTATAATTTGTTGGAGAAGAGAAATAAATGAAATATTTATTTTAAGAGTAAATATATCCATTTAATATATCAGGGAAGAAAAACTGTCACTTAAATAATTTAGAGGGAAAAAGTGCTTTAAGTATATAACAAAGGGGGGGAAAGTGTCATTTTCCCAAAGATTTAAAAATGGAACTAAACCCATGATTCCACTCTACCAGTCTACCCGGACCAAATTTCCGTATCTATTTGCACAGAATTCTCTCGTCTTCTGCGTTCTAGTTTCTACTCCAGAGGAAAAAGGGGGGGAAAATGCAGGTAACATTACTGAAATTCAATTCCTATATGCTTTCAGTTCGTTATTTTTCAAATCGAAATAAAAAAAAAAAAAAACATAATCTTCATATTGCATCCAACACGCCAAACTTTAAGATCCGCAAAACCCTAAAATATCCTCATTATTCTAAAACCCTAAATTTCCCTATTTTTTTGGTGTTTTTATGCTTGTGCACTAATTGGTATTATCAAATGATTACTTAAACCACATGTTTGTGGGTGCAGGCAAGTGATAGATTCAATATCAATTCCCAGCTGGAACACTTGCAAGCTAGATATGTAGGAACTGGGCATGCTGACTTGACGAGATTGTTAGTTTCCTACCCTAATTTTTCAAAATTTCTTTTTACATATTTTGTGTTCCTGGATTTGTTATATTGTTTGATATCTGTACTGGTTAAGATTCCAGCTTTTTGAAATTTTCTTAGTTTATCATCAAGAATAACACTGATAGCTCTCCTTATTCTCCTTATTTATTTGGTGTTAGTGAGTGGGCAGTGAATATTCAGCGCGATAGCTACGCCTCGTATATTGGCCACTACCCAATGTTGGCATACTTTGCTATTGCAGAGAATGAATCTATTGGAAGAGAACGCTACAATTTCATGCAGGTGTGTAGTTGATTTCACAGTGTAGTGTTATTGTATTATGCTATGCAATGAGTGGAACTCTGCTTTTAAATTTAGTACTCCGTATTGTTTTTGTTGCTTTAATGTTCATGTATTTTGCCTGATTTTTGTTGAATGGCATATTCTCCAGTTTACTGCTTTCTATATTCCTAGTGGGCATTGTGTTCGACTACTTGGACAATCAGGGTCTTTTTTACTACATGCTATAACTGTTAAATATAGTAATACTCTCTTGGCCCTACTTTTGCTGATAGTAATTTCAGAAGCAAGTATAGTTTAATTTTTCCTTTTGGTAATTATATGCCACTCTTAGCCTTACACTCCATTTTTAATGCTATTTTTATATTGACTAATACTACGTATCATTTAAGCTCATTCTAAGAAAAATGAAGAATATTATGTTGTAGTTTTCTCTCTTTTTGCACCAAGGCTGAGGAAATGTGTAAAATGTTGCATTTGGGCCGGAGGAAAATGTTTTACTCTGAATGAAACAACTCTATGAGAATCTTGAGAAAAGTCAATTAAAAATCTAGCTCTGTGGACAAGCTAAAGATTATAGTTTTTCAGAAAGCATTATGTGATTTAGTTTGCGTATAATTTTTTCAAAATCTTCCTTGTAGTGGTCAATAATTCATCTATTGCTGCCTTTTGGGGCATGTCTTGAATAAAATTGTTTTGTGACATTTTTACTGCTTTTAACCTTTTGCATGCATTTTGATACTAAAACAAGAAAAAATTGTTAAGACTAAATTTAAGCACTTCTGAACAGAAATTATCTTTGTATAACTTCCAATTATAGGGAGCACGAAAAGCTGTGAATAAATATTTTGCTACGACAAACATTGAATTCTGTTGTAACTTTGTGTGTATTGAAGGCTCTCTGGTTAATTTCTTTTAGCTATATTACATATCGCGGGTAGTTGCATGAATGTACTTATGGTGTTCTTTAGTATTGAGGTAGGAAGTACCTAATGAGATATACTCTGTTTTTAAACACTGCAAATAGTATAATGCTTGCTTTATGTACTTGTACCCAATGTTGTAGAAGACGCTAGGCGCTGCCTAGGCAGGCAAGTAATAATAATAAGAAAAACACAGCAGTGTACTCATTGCACACCAAAAAAAAAAAAAAAACGCAGCCAAGTTGGCCTACTCAGTCCCCGAGTTAGCCGATTCGGGCACCTAGGCCACCTAGTCAGCCGGCCGACTAATGTCCACCTAAGGGTAAAATTCCCTCGGCCTAGGGGTGCTTAGCACCTAATCGGTGCCTAGGCGGCCGATTTTTACAACAGTGCTTGTACATTTGACTTAATAGCCTCTGACTTCATTGGGAGCTTATATCCAAACAATTCAACTTCTAATGCCATATAGCAGCTAATATTTTGTAGCTGTGGTTGTGCAGAAAATGCTTGCTCCTTGTGGTCTTCCACCAGAGAGGGAAGATGATTAAGAGTTCCAACATGCTATGCTGCTACAGACTAAACTGAAGTGTGCCATCAAACTTATTATAAAATTGTTTTGCTATATACTTTGGTTGTTAACCTGTGGTATCAAGTCATCTTATGTTGTTAGTATGCTATTAGTGATTAGAATTTTAATTGTTTGTGTAGGTATGGATAATAATGATATGCACATTAAGCTTCTTCTATATTAGTAGCACTATCTTCAACATTGAGAGTACTTGAAATATGAGGTTGAATTTTGAAATTTGGTGGCATATGCAACTGATTATGTGTTTCTACTTTTGAATTATATAACATATTATTTAACATGAGAAAGATGGATAAATGAATTGTTGATTGATAAAAAAAAAAAAAAAAAAAAAAAAAAAAACATTGTTCAACATCTTCAGAATGAACCAAGGTACATATTGTGCATTGTTATATTATTAATTAGTCACTTTTTAAGTAATAGGGATTAAAAAAACATATTATTATTTTTTAATTATCACAACATCATTACTAATACAATAAAATTAAAATGTACTTTTGTTCTTAAAAGGCATTTTATATGTTATTCTATCAAACACTTGTTTACAAGTTGCTAATATTATTTAATATAATCCGTTAACCACTAATAGTTAATTACTAATGATAATTTATTATTACTACTTTTGAATCAATGAAATGAGAGAATAAATAGATTGTTGTAAGGTTGTGTGTGTATATTAGTATATATATACATGCGCGTTTAGGTGAGAACTGGTGTCCATGTGAGGAATGTGAATCAATTATAGTCGTTTAATTGTCTAAACCTAACAGATTGTATGTATTTTTTTTTTTAAATGCGATGACATTTTTATAAATAATTCAAACTTTGGTGCAAGTAACATGTGTTAAAACTTAAAAGTGCAAGTGTGCAAATAAAATCACTTAAAAGTGCAACTATTTTCACTTAATAGTGTAAGTAATTTATCTTTTTACATTGGTGCATCTAATGATAATGTTTTGTGGACTTAATATTGTTGCTCGGTGTATCGGTGTATATTATATTGTTGCACTTGTAATACATTTTACTTGCACTTAGGTGCACTATATAAAACTATTACTTAACTTTTAGCACAATTTACTTACATTTCAAAATTTGAATTACGAAATTTTTACAAAAATATCACCGTGTTTTTTTTTTTTTTTAAAGTGTTTCTAATCCGTTAGATCTGGACTGATGAATGACTGCGATAAATTTTTATTCATCTCCTGAGAATGTGGTTCTCATCTAATCGGTCTCCCATATATACAATGTTGCAACTTTGGTCATAACTAATGGTATGAATAATATCAATTGCTTTTTAGGTAAATCATTAAATAAAGATTTTTGTGGGGTAAGGGAAAAAAAAAACTTCAGGAAAATCTGCGAGTAATAAAACATTGACAAAAGCTGCCAAGAATTGCAAAAGAAATGGCTGTTAGTCATTTAGAATTTGTCAATTAAATGCGCGACTTTGGGGTGGAGAAAAATGCGAGGACTTCTTGTTTACATAATCACTTAGCTTCTTTTTATGTACTGTTATTTATCCATTTTGCGTCTTTATTTACATCTCTTGCTTGGTATCCTAATCCTTGGTGTTTTCATTCGGTATTATAATCTTGTAGGATTTAATGGTGCACATAATAATCATCCCCTTACTTCCTATATATTATTAGGAAATTTGCAGAGAGACCATAGGAAGAAATATGTTCTTCGTCTCTACTTGACTATGGTTGTGGGGAGACAAAGGTACACAATTATTGTTATTGACTACTTCACCAAATGGGTTGAATCTAAGCCATTAGCCACCATTACAATGCATCAATGTTAGTTAGACATTTGGAGTTTGGTGCAGCCTTGCACGCGGGCACGACTCTTAGTCTTAAGAGCATCCCCATCGGAGCATCCACACCAAAAGTGAATGAGGGGTTAATGTCAGATGAATAAACTTGAATGGAGATATTAAGAGATGTGGAGTGGAGTTAATTGAGGGAAGAATCCTCTTGCAAATACACAAATAATGTCAGAAAAAAAGATTAAAAAAAAAAAAGAGCAACACAGGCGCGTGCAGTGCACGAGCCCGTGTACGCGTCAGGCGCGCTGTCGCTTCACTTTTTTTATTTTATTTTATTTTTTCAATTTCAGTTTTCTCTATTTTTTTTTTTTTTTTTTCTCTCCCCCCTCCCCCCCCCCCCCCCCACTTTCTCTTTCCTAATCACTCTTACATTATCCTCCAATTCTCCCCAACTGATGTGGATGCTTAAGGAGTTTCTTCACGGTATTTAAGAAATTATTGTCAACATGGAAGAAAGATAATGAAGAGAGAGAGAGAAGGCTAGAGTGCTTTCTGCAAATTTGGAGGTTTTCTTGAAAAAGTGGGATCCACTCATTTTAGTAGTCTTAGCTCTCTGTTCGCGTGAAGGCCACAAATGGCGCCCAGTTGCACGCGCAGCGGGCGTGTTAGTGACAGTGTTTTGATTACTATTATTATTATTATTTTTTTTAGAAATCAACATATTTTTTTTTCCCTACCATTTTCTCTTTCCTAATCACACTTACAAAAACTCATCAAAAACCACACCAAAATCCTTACTATTGTGGATGCCTTAATAAGGACCAAAGAGTGGTCTAGCTAATTGAACAATCGATATGTGAACAATCATTCCAATTTGAAATGGCATATGCCATTCAACGTTGCATAGTGCTCTATCAATCCTACTTGCTTACCCGGCCTGTTTCCAAGTAAATTTGGAGCCTCTAAAGCCCAAATCAATCATCCCTTAGTCAAAGATCCTGTTTGTGATTGAAGCTTAGAGCATTTTCAAGGGATGGGCAAAAAGGCAAATGGCATCACCAAATCACCATTCCTTCATATTTTCCAGCTCCAACCAACGACAAATGGAACACCAAACGCCAAAAGAAATGGCGGATATATGGCGCGACACTGGTCACACACGGTAAATATGAGAGAATATGATATTTTACTTTATACTCTTGTTTATTTATATAATCCAAATGTATCTTTTATTTATTTTATATGTATTTTTTTTATTTTGTTAAATACTTAAATTTAAAATTTGTATTATTAAATATAAATTATATAATTTTAAATATCTCATTGAGACGATTGAAGCAAGATTAATATTGAATATATATTAATTAAATTTATTTATTTTTAAATTAATGTTATGAAAAAAATTAATGTTACTAAGAGCATCCACATCAATTGGGAAGAATGAGGGGATAATGTAAGAGTGATTAGGAAAGAGAATGTGGGAGGGGAGAGAAAAAAAGAAAAAAAAATAGAAAACAGATTTTAAAAAAAAAAATAAAAAAAAATAAAGCCTTTGTCAGGCGCGCTGACAGCGCTGTCAGCGCGCCTGACGCGCCACACGGGCGCGTGTAGTGCACGCGCCCGTGTGGCACTTGGCTGTGCGCAAACGCGCACAACATCTGTGTTGTTATTTTTTTTTTTTCTGACATTATTTTGTGTTTTGCAGGACAAATATCTCCTCAAATAACTCCACTCCACATTTGCTATTAACCCCACCCAACATAATTGTTATGACATTATCCCCATATTATCCACTAGTGTGGATGCTCTAAGAGCATCTACATCAGAGGAGAAATGGGAGAGAATTCATTACTTTTGAGGCCAAAATGCTATGGTGGCAGAGAGAGAACCAAGAGAAGAGAAGGGGTGGGGAGCATTTGCAAAGGTTGGATATTACTCTGCCCAAGAAAAAGAATTAATGATGGAGGAGAGAGAACCAATAGAGAAATGACATGCTTATATATATATATATATATATATATATATATATATATATATATATATATATATATATATATATATATATATATATATATATATATATTTATATTTATTTATAAAATCAGTTTTGATTTTTTTTTCCTCCCCTCCCACATTATTCTCTTTTCTACTCACTCTTACATTCTCCCCCTAATATCCCCAACTGATAAGGATGCTCTAAGAAATTATTATTTACATCACAATTTATATTTTATATTAAACTAATTAAATTCGAACTAATAAAGTTCTAAAACTTGAGAAACCAAATTATTCTAGTGTAGAATAATATTTGGTGTTTTGGTGTAATGGGTTGGAGATGAATAAAATTTGGTGTGAGAATATGCTAACAATATTCCTTTTGGTGGGGAAATTTGGTATTTTGGTGTTAAGTGGGTTGAAGATGGCCTTAAACAACACCGTTGCTGCGAGACCTCGGCTCACTCACTTCATCCTATGATGTGACTGCATTGAAATCTCCAACAACGAGCCAAGACCCTTCAATGTTAAGAGAAACCTTGTCTAGGCTATTCTTATTGTTTTCACTCTACCCTTGCGAGCATGTTATATGAAGGATTTGTCATACCTTAGCCTATTATCGACTCATCAGGACTCTGCTCTGCCGTCGGATTATCATTCCTTTCCACCTCCTTATCCCTCATTCGGACATCCTCCACCCCATTCCCAACAGTGTTCTTTAGCATAACTATTTGTGGCTTCTCTGAAACAAACTCTATGTCCATGGTTACCTCATCAAGTTTCATTTTCTTGACGCTGTATGTATTCAAGAAAATCTTCATCCTCCCGTGAGGTCGGGAGACTCATGGGTAGAGAGCAGTTTTCAATCCATTTAAAGATATATATTGCAATAACCACTTCATGATATGGCAAGTTCTAGCTAATAGCCTAATATGTTTCTTTGTTTAAAAAAAAAAAAATCAAATGTCAACCTATTAGAGCTTGTTACATAAGAGATGGACTATTTTGTAAGTGATAAATGTAGAAGTATCTAACATTGTGTATGTCTATTATATAAATATATATACTATCTACTAAACTAAATATAATAAGAGTTAATGTTGGTAAGGGAGTTTAAGAAGACTATAAAGAAACCTTTGTTTAGTATTTTACTTTTCCATTTATGTACAAACTTTAGTAACATTGCATTCCGATAAGTATTTATTAATTTTTAACTTATTGAAAAATATTTTCCTAACATTTTAACGACAATAACAACAATGAGCATTTTGTTTTTAGATACACAAAATTGAACTCATGTCAATTTTTTATTTTTTTATTTTTCTATTCTTTTTTTTTTTGTTTAACTCTTTTTTTCTTTTGTGGTAAGCATTAACATATAATAATATTTACTTGATTTTATTTGTTTCACACACACACACACACACACACACACACACACACATATATATATATATATATTGATAG